TTTTACTTCTGGCCACAGTAACCCTTACGCAAAGAAAATATATTTCCTAATATATGAATGATCAATATATTAAACGACATAATATATTCAAAATTATAAAGAATAATATATTGTGTAAATATATTACAATATATTGAATAATACATAAGGAATTGCCGCTTTTCATATATTGAAAAATATGTTACAATATATTTACTTACAGTATATATCATAATATATGTAATTTTATATTCAGTAATACACTTTATATAGATAATATATGGTACTGCATGTGTAAAATATATTAAACATATATTTACTAATGCAGACTATACACACATATATGGATATGGGCTATATATTTCTTATATTTATCATTTATTATATACATGATTAAAATAAAGCTAGTTTACAACAGCATAAGCACATCTGTTCATACTAAACACTTAATGAACAGACTATCACTGCGCTGAAAATTGCACAATCATTACTTTTTAAATAAAGTAACATATAATCTAATGATATTTGTCCAGTCATCATTCTAAGCACAGGCTCTACTCCTCTGCACAATGGTGACCCCATAAAACTTATACGCACCAGAGACCCTTTTACATTTCAATTACAACATTAAACACTAACAGATCTCCCCCATATTAATATTGAGCAAAAACACATGAAATAACACTTAATTGTAACATTTTTACTCTCCTTTAGCAGTAAGAAGCAAAGCATGCTGGGAATTAGAAATCTGCTGTAACTCATTCAGTGAATGTGTGTGTATATATGTGTACATACATTCACATTTATATGGGAGCATCTATGTGCAATATATACTAAATAAATAATTAAACAATGAATATGTATTTCTTAATTTCTAAATATATGTGTATGTATCAATACATAGCCTTATATTGTCAAGCACTAGTTTCCAATATATGGAAATGTATCATGTAATATATCGCATTATATGTTGCAGTATATTCCCATATATTTTTGTTTCGTAAGGGAAAGGACACAGCAATTTTTTTCCAGAATGAGTTTGCAAATGTTTCAGGCTCTTTGATGTGTGAAACTCTTTCCACAATGAAAACATGTGAAATGCCTCTCTCCAGTGTAAAAACAATCCCAGATAGCATGCAGATGTGGGCCACTTAAGGCAATGATATGGCACTGCTGGCTTTCTTATGGCCCGGACAAAATGGATGTAAGCCTGAAGTGGCCCAAATGTATCAATTCACATGTGGGAAGATCAACTGTTTTTTTCTTTCCCGATCCCCCCCACTCTTCGCTTCCTGACATGTTTGATCTGTCCTATCACAATAAAGGCAAGAATGCCAAAAACAAAACAAACAAACAAAACAAAAATAAATAAATAAATAAAATAAAAAGCGCGAGACTTAATTCTTCTGGAGGTGCAGCTGGATCATGAACAATGGGTACTGACCCATCCTTGAGTTTTAACTTTTCAACAAAACTTGCCTTGAATTGTCTCTCATTCAGAAAGCAGTCTGGAGTAAAATGATTCGTGCAGTCAGACATAAACGATATTAGTGAAAGTGAAGTGAAGTGACCCATACTCAGAATTTGTGCTCTGCATTTAACCCAGCCAAGTGCGCACACACACAAGCAGTGAACACACACACCATTAACACACACCAACAAAGTTGGGGGTTTGGTGCCTTGCTCAAGGGTCTCACCTCAGTCGTGGTATTGAAGGTGGAAGAGAGCACTGGTATTCACTCCAAAATCAAAATGGCTTGATAATTGAGACAGTTTAGGTTTTTGGGGGGTTAAAAAAAAGGAGTGAATTTTTATCATTGTAGGGCACACACTGCAAAGACACATTTATATGCAAATGAAGATATTTTGCATCCAATGGCTCCTTTAAAATGAAAATATTATAATCTTTATTCAAGTGATGAAGGATTTCGAAAGTCTGACAGTAATCAGTGTTCAGTACTACTGTAATGTTAACCCTGCCTGGTTTACATGTTTGAAAATGATTAACAGTTGAAACTATTAGAAATTTAGAAAAGTAATCAAATGTAATCAGTTACAGTACTTTAATAAAGTTATCAAAAAGTTACACTACTTATTACATTTTAAGTAGGGTAACTTGTAATCTGTAACCTATTATTGCATTGACATAAAAAAGGAAATTTACTCAAGTACTTTTAAAGCAAGTACTTCTGTACTTTTACTTAAGTAAAAATCTGTCTTTACAACTTTTACTTGTAATGGAGTAATATTTGAC